CATGTTCAGCCGGCTGTCGACCAACACCTGCAGATCTTTTTCTGCTTGGCCACTTTCTACCCACTCTTCCCCCAGCCTGTAACGCTGCATGGGGTTTTTGTGGCCGAAGCATAGGACCCAGCACTTGTTCTTGTTGAACCTCATGCTGTTGGTCTCGGCCCATTGATTCAGCCTGTCCAGGTCCCTCTGGATGGCATCCCTGCCCTCCAGCTTGTTGACCTCACCACACAGCTGGGTGTCATTGGCAAACTTGCTGAGGGTGCACTCAATCCCACTGTTCATGTCACCAACAAAGATGTTAAACAGCGCTAGTCCCAATCTCGACCCCAGAGGAACGCCACTCATCACCGGTCGATTTAGCTCCGTTGACCACAACTCTCTGGGCCTGGCCATCCAGCCAGTTTTTTTTACTCATGAGCAGCTGAACATTTTCTTTACACAATAGTGTCAAGAACTGTTGTAAACTCAATATAATCCCCTTGCAGGGTTGAATAGTTGCCATGTAAAGAAAGATGCAAAGAGGGCAGAGCTATGTTCAGGCCATTGCTGGTGGGTTAAATGGCTTTTGGGTACTAAAACGGGTGCAATTTGACCGCTGGAGATGGGGTGGAAAGTCACGTAAGCTCATGAACACACCTGGATGTTGGTCAGATGCTCCTGAAGTGAAAAGTGTGGCTTTTTGACATCAATGTCACTGTGAGTTCTTTAAAACATTATTTATATTGAGTGAGTAAGAAGATAATGTCACAGCTCCAATACCTATAATAGCATACAATTCCACACTGTTCTTAAGATATCTTTATATTTAAGGAGTAATGACACTTTTAGTATGAAAAGAGAGGAAAATCTAACACTTTGTAATTATTTGAAACTCCTATGTAACAATTAATGGGGAAGAGATACTTAGTTCAGGTGACCTGTGTTTGGTTTCAACTCTGATTTACAGGTTTCCAAATGTGATTCAAGATCTATCCTGAATATTGAGCAACTGGTAAATTCCACTCAAGGGTGGCTACATTTTATTTGCTCATAGTCTACACCAATGCATATGTGAATAATTAATTCTTTCACGTTTATTATTTTCTGTTGCAGGAGAAAGGAGCTTTTGTTTTGAAAATATCATCTAGAAACTTGTTTAAAAAAAAAGTTATATGTTTTTACTCACTTTATGTTACTTTGTGATTTTATTCTGCTTAGGCATTCTTTGTCAAAGAATACATCTTGAACCATCCAGAGGATGGAGAGAAGATCACACGCTTGAGAGAGCTGATGCTGGAGCAGGTAAAGTGGGGAAAAGACTGACTAGGTGGCCTGCTCAGCTGTTCTAGCTAAAAGTGTCACAAATTAAAATATAAAATTGCAGAGATTAATTATTGGTCTTCAGTATTTTCTGTATTAGCTTCCTAGTACACAGTAACTTCCTATACAAGCAGGGTTCTGGGTCATGTTAATATTTTTTCCCTAGTCCTTTTCATCATCATCTTAATCACTTCAAACTACTCTAAATTCAAGGTTGAATGAGAGGCAAGTTTTTGTCTTGTGAGGCTCATATGCAAATATTTGCACAACATATTTTGCCACTACTACAGAATAAACATTATCTCATTGAAACGTTTGATGGCTTCAGCAAATATTTGTATGATGTATTTTACCAATACTACAGAACAAATGTTTTCACTACCAGGTTTAACATAAGAGCAAAAAAACCCCAGAAAATCTTATTACAGTGGAGGATATCTAATAATAATAGCCAAAGTAGGTAGTCAGTAAAATAAACACCAAGTGCTTAAATTAAACAGGTGAGTATTCTATGCATTATAAGATTTTTGTATTATTTCTTCATTTATTTATAAGACAATGACCTACGAGCCTCAAATACGAAGTGTCTCCATTTAGAAGTACTGAAAAAAATTATTTTGACCAACTGATCTTGCTAAGTATTTCAGCTTTTTTAACTGACATTTACCTATCTTGGTTCTATGCAGTGTGTTGAAAATTCAAACTTTATTGCCAGTTTGGGATAAAGAGGTCAGAGTAATGGAATTTGACAGGATGGAAATTCCATTTTTCATCAGCATTGTGGTGTCTTTTGGGTACATCAGCCGAAAGACAGATCCTCAGTATAAATCAGAATAGGTTCAGTGAGCTCACTTTAATTTCGTTTAGATAATGTATAGTAATTTACATTGCAGCTTTGGTTTTTCAAGCCATAGCTAATCTCACTAACCCTTACCATTTAAAACTGGAGTTAATAACTTTCTATGACAAAAACGTGAATGCTAAGCGATAGCGGTTAAACCCTGTCTGGCACCCACAGATGATTTAACAGAAAACACGGAGCATTCGGAAGGGCCGGGATGGCTGTGTGCGGAGGGATGTGCTGTAACCCTGACCTCGGGTCCGTGATGCTGCTCAGCTGCCTGCCTGCTTGCAGCCTGCCTGAAAACATCAGCTAGTAGTTCTCATCCAAAGATATTACACCATAGTGTAGCTATTTTGTTTTTAAATTTGAGTTTAGCTGAGTCCTCATGTAACCAGTTCAGTATTTTAAATACCAAATTTGAGCAAGATCAGTTTCAGCAATGTTATCCTGAAGCCTGCCATGCCTTGTATCAAGAATATACATAAAGCCACCACTTACTGAGGTCTCTGGGGAGTCCGAGTAGGGTAGGGAACCACGGAGTTCATCGAAAATATATTACAGGGTCTCTGATGGATGTTGCCATTGCTGTTGTTTCATGCTTTTTGTAACTGTTCTTGTAGCAAATGGCTTTTATTTAGGGTTTAGAACTATTCCTTCGTAAAGTTGCCATTTAGCCAGATTTTTCACTACGTTATCCATATTGGTTTTTATATTAGAGTTGAACTCGCATGGGCCAAATCTTTGGGAAAGCTGAATAGTAAAATGGGAAGAGGCATAAATCCTCTGGTGTATTACTGATTTTGGTCTTAGGTCTTGTTTGATTACAGGTCTGTCAGGGATTTAGGTAGATGCCTTTAATACAATGTGCATTTTGATGAATTTTTTTTTTCATTAGTACCCTAATTGATGATGAAAGCTGAAAGAAAATGGATCAAAAATATATTTTTCCCCTCTTTCCTTCTGTTTCTTCTGCAGGCTCAGATTCTCGAATTTGGCTTGGCGGTACACGAGAAGGTGGTGCCGCAGGACATGAGGCCGTTGCACAAAAAGCTGGTGGATCAGTTCTTTGTGATGAAGTCAAGCTTGGGAATACAGGTACACGAGCAGGTGCATGGATAAACCGGGAGACCGTTTAGCTGCAGGAAGGGTTGTTTAATTTTCCTAAGCAACAAATAGTGACATCTTTTGGTTGTTTGTCCCCATTACACCTTGTAGAATTTTGGCAGTACCACAAAGCGAAGCAAATGTTAATAAAGTTTCCGTACAGTCCAGTGAAAAATAGTCACGTTTTACTAAAGGGAAAGTATCATCAGCAAAAAGTTAAAATATTTTGCTCACTAATGATGAAGCTGATCCAAAATGCGGATATAGGTCTTCAAATGACTATCTGTATCTTACAAAATGCTTAATGATATTATGTTAATTTTAATTAATGTTCTTGTAACAACTTGCCAGGAATTTTCTGCCTGTGTACAAGCTAGCCCTGTTCATTTCCCAAATGGAAGTCCCCGTGTATGCCGAAATTCCATACCTGTTTCGATGAGCCCTGATGGTGCCAGGGTAATACCACGACGCAGGCAAGTTAAAATACTAGAAAGTTAAAGTACGAGAAATTAATAGTGGTGCTCGTGGAAGATAACTCATAAAATACTTTTATTATATGCACACTTCCTCTTATAGTCCACCTGAAGTATCTTCAGTCATGAATAGCTGATAGATGTTTTCTCTCTCTTCCTCTCTCTCTCTTTCCTCCCTCCCTCCCCCTCAGTAAATCGAAATTAAACTGTGAAGATTAATAAATATGTGCTGTTTTCACATGAAAAATTGTGACTGGCAACTACAGTTAACCATTTTGTATTCATTACTCTTACAATAGTCCCTTGAGCTACCCAGCTGTCAATCGGTATTCATCCTCATCACTGTCATCCCAAGCATCTGCTGAAGTCAGCAATATCACTGGGCAATCGGAAAGCTCCGATGAAGTTTTTAACATGCAGGTACAAATTATTGTCATTCTTCAAACTAAACAGAATCTTTCTTACAAAGCTATTTACTGGATTAATGCTTCTATTATTTCATTCAGAAATCTCAAAGTTATTGCTGATACTTCTTTTTAAAAACAAATCTTTAAATGGGCTGCTAAGCTCCTTAACTTAAAAAGAACAATTTTTTATGTAACAATTTCTTCTTCTTTAACTTAGAGCATGAATTTTTTACAGAAGTAATAAGCAGCAATGCACTATGATGTGAAGTCATCTGACCTTACATAGATTTTTCAGTCCAGTTGTCACAGTTGTGATGTAATTATTTTAATACAGGAATTACATTTCTATTTACTTGATATTTTACTACATCTTTGTATTAGTCACATTAATGCTCTTTATACTGGTTTGCTATTTTGAAATACTGAGAAACTAGGCTAACAAATTACAAGTTCTTTCATTTAGTGAAAAGTACATTATAAATTTTCATTTTCCAAACCAGTAAGTGTGATGGGGTAACAACAGCATCTCTTCTATATGCAGCCTAGTCCCTCTACCTCAAGCCTGAGTTCTACTCATTCTGCTTCACCTAACGTGACCAGTTCTGCTCCATCCAGTGCCAGAGGTCAGTGCTCATCTGCTGTGGTAAACCGTATTAAATGATTCTTGATACATTACACAGCTGAATTTCTGCATGATATCACTGGTCAGGCATCAAATTTAGCCAACTGTTTAAGGAACATGAATTATTGGGGAGAGAGGATTTCTTTGTCGTAAGCATAGAATTGAAATGTCTGAGTTTCACTGCATGAATTTAATCACTTGACACGTTTATATTCTAGCCTCCCCTCTGTTGTCTGACAAACATAAGCATTCCCGAGAAAACTCTTGCCTGTCCCCCAGAGAGAGGCCCTGCAGTGCCATTTACCCAACTGCCTCGGAAACCTCGCAGGTAGGAAGCTTGTTGGGAGTCCTCTGAACACAAGTAGCCAAGAAGATGATAAAGGCGCTTGTTGAACTTTGAACAGATTCAGTGTCTGCTCACTGCTGTTAATTTTTTAATTTTTATAAGCAAATACTTTAAAATATTTTCATGAAAGAGATGTGAATAGAACACATGGTGGTTGATCACGTTTCTGCTTGCTTTGTCTCGGTTTAGATCTGGTTTTTGGTATTTACTTGCTGCAGCAAGAGAGGGATGCAAAGACTTACCAGATGACACAGCCTGCTTGCGTGAAGCAGCAGCATTTGTTCAGTCTAGGGAAGAAGAAAGAAATAAAAACTGTTATCACGGCAGTTGTCCATGTTGACCTCCCCTTTATTTCTCCTGAAATAGCTAATGCTAGCCACTGTGAGATAATAACCCACTCCATGTGGCAATTCCTATTTTTCAATGGAGTTTCAGAAAAGAAAGATAGACATTTTGTTACTCTGGAGAAAAGAGTAAGTTGTGTTCTTACCTTAAAATTACTGTTACATACGTCTGTATGAAATTAGTATCTTTTGAGCTACCTGAACTGCAAAATGAGCTTGGTAAGCTGGCCACTTTTGAATCCTTATTTCATCTTTTCTTCTTAGTGGACCTACTTTTCCTAAAGTGCTTTCCTTTTACGCAGTTGCTGTTTTATCGTGTGCCGTCACACAATGCACCTCTTGCTGAAGCTGAGAAAGACGAGAACATAAATACAGTGTGAAAGGCCTTCCTCTCAACACTGTCATTTCCACCAGAAATTTTGCCTCTGATACAAAACAACTTGGTAGTCCAGGATCCTTTATTTTAGAAATGATTTTTTGGTTTCTCATTAGTTGTATTCTTGTCCCTTGCTTCTTCAGTTATTGAATTGGCTCTTGATTTAATTTTTGTCTCTTTTCTGTTTAAGTCCTCATGCTGTTACCTGAGGGCTTAAGAAGTAATACTTACTAAAGCTTAGCCAGACTTAAGGGCAGTTCTCGGGCACTACTCACGGATATATCTACTGGGCACTTTCTCAGTGGTAGTGGAGCCAAACCAACATACAGGAAAGACTAGGAGATGTTCTTTAAATAAAGCGGTTTTACAGTTTGCCGCAAAGAAAAAATTATCCCATTTTTACTCCCAGACTGCAAACTCTTGCTTTGCCAAGTGGAATGCGACTTCTATCCCCCACTCTACCCGCGATTCGATAAGGGAGGCTGAGGAGCTCGTAGGCCCAGTCTCCACTCTCTCTGAGACTCGCCCGACAGGAAAATCTCCCAATCTGTCTCTACCCTCAGTGTCCCAAGAGAGGGTAAGTAGAAAATCAACTTGCTCATACAGTGAGGTATGTTTCAAAGGTGAGAAAGTCTGACAGTTTCTTTCTGCCTTCATAACCATAAACGAGGATATATCTTTCTGGGGAAAGGTGCAATTTCTTTCTCTGGTGCTCTGTTCCCCCAAGCAGTCAAAGTGGACGGTGATCAGAAACAAAATTCTGATTTAAGACGGGGAAAAGAAATCATCAGGACAACTCTAAGGAGACACCTTAGAGATCCCTGCAACTCTCATTAGAATTTAGATGTTCAAGCTGTTCCTTGTTCTTTCTGGTTTTATTCTAACACTAGTTAACTTCAACAGTCTTGGTTGGAGCCTCACACTAAGTTAATGAGGAAAGGACCACTCATTTATGAACATCTTTTGTTACAGCTTACTGAATGCAATTTTCAACCAGAAAAGATGAGATACACAGGCAAATTCCTGCACTTCAAGTCCAAATCAAGTCCTTTCAGGCCATAGCTACCTCATTTAAGGAAGTTTGATGGACCTCACAGAACAAGATCACAGCAGTACTGCATCCGCTTCCCTCATTGAAATTGCTGCTCAAGGTTATCTATGTACAGCTGTTTTCAGTCAGCATCCATTTCTGCTTGCTTTTTGATCTCTGGCTGAGCAATTGTGCAGTGTCTCTCCAGCTCTTCCCATCCTCTGAAGAGGAACGCCTGCTGTCATTGACTCGTCAACAAGCCTCCTTAGTTTTTGCATTATTAATTCTTCCTAATGGAGCCTTCTGGGTTTCACATGTTTGGGGTTTTTTTGCGTCTCATTAAACATCCTGTGATTGCTCTTGTTCTTCCATATGGTTTTATATTTCATTGTTTTAGTATGTCCTCGTTTCTCTGTATTTCATTCAGCTCTTGTCTCTATCTCCTCCAATTTCACTTGCTTTTTCAGCCTTTGCTCTTTACCTTCACAACAGAAAACAGACTTCAACACTTGCCTACCAGATCCTAGCGCACTGCAGACTCCCTAGGCAGTGAACGTTCAATCCAGACCAGGCAGGAACATCCGATCACGTTTTCTGTCACATTAGAGTACACGTGTAGTTACACCACCTCAGCTTAATGGTAACTCCAGGAAAACAGATGTTACCCGCTCCAGTATGACTCCGGTACAGCATAGATAGGCAAACCTGGTGTAGCTCAAAGTCTACCAACGCATTCTCTCTCTGAGATGTTTTAAGTCAAGTTGAATTGGCCAAGTGTTTGTTCCTCACTTTGTAACATGGAGCTGCAACACGTTAGTTCAATGCGGATTACTTTGCGGCTGGGTTTGCCATCTGGTGGAACCACAGCGTAGTGCCTCTGTGACCACTGGAAGGAGATACAAGAATAGGATTTGATTGGATTTGAATTTCACCGATTGTCTGATCTTGCTTTAAAAAAAAAAAAAGAGTGGAAGAAAAAAAAGTAAAGTTTCTCTCTTCTTGTTATCATGATAAACTACTGACCCACGGATTGTTTGAATGCTGCCAAAAGAAATAACTAGTGGAATTTCAAAATTGTTTCATAAATTCACTGCAATTTTTTAAAAAATGAGTATTCAGAAAAGGAAAGACAAACACACTTCATGGGTCAGCTCTTATCCACAAAAGAAGTAAGAAGATTTTTTAAAAAATGAATATTCAGAAAAGGAAAGACAAACACTTCATGAGTCAGCTCTTATCCACAAAAGAAGTAAGAACACTGCTACCAAAAATGTCAGGATTGGGAATAATACACAATGCTCTTCTAAGATAACAGTCATAACTTGAATATTGTCGAACATTACACTTTGTTCAGATCCTGATTCTGCAGTGAAATTATTGCAAATCTGTCCCTGTACTTGTTCAGTAGTCTATCAAGATACCACTTGAGGAATGAGCCTTATTTTGTTTTTTAGGGAGCTGGAAACTGTCAGAACTCAGTACCTAATAATCCTCCTTCTGATTCCAGTGTGTACAGTTTTCAGAAAACTAGTCTGCTCCCTGTTTGGATACACATATTTTTATTAAATTATTTATGTTCTTGGGTGATGTTTATCACTCGACTTCCAAAGTAGACCTGTGTGGTGGGGATGATAACAAGAAGATATTTGTTTTCTTAAAGGCTACTGAAATACAACAGCAACTATGCATAAACTATGCTGCTCTCAATTTACAGAGAATGCTGTTTAATCATATTGGAGATGGTGCTTTGCCACGAAGCGATTCGAATCTGCCCGGCCCTGACAAAGGTGAGTGGTATGGTCCAGCATTTCCAATCTTGGAAGCAATGAAAATAGAATTGATCTGTCATATTCCTGTAGAATGCTAATTCTTTTGAGCGCGTACTGTCACCTCCAAGTTTCAAAACATTCTAACTAACTAACTAAATTACGCTTAACGCTAAGTTTCAAATCATTTTGCCAAAAGGCAGGGAGCATGGTGTTTGTTTGAACGGAGTGTTGCACTCGGAAGCATTGCAATCTCTTGGTGATGGAGCAGCGGGTTGCAGCAGGCTGCCTGTGAGAGCTGGCCTTTCTGCTTCTCGCGAGAGACGTATATGGGGTGCTGAACCCTGGAGATGAACTTCTGGAGACTGAAGCAGAGAGAAGCTAAAGAGACGGGCAGAATCCTGAAGTTTGGTACCTGCAAGTCCTCTTTACCAAATATAAGTCACTGTGCTTTTGGTTACACTTTGATGGAAAAGATCAACCTGTGGTTTGTTGTTTTTTTCTTTTTAATTAGAGTAAATGAGAAACCTATGAATTTCCATAGACAAAATACTGCCTTTTATAATTTTGTGCATGGGGAAATTCAGTATCGTTGGCAGAGTGATTGTGCCACGATTTCATTATGTGCTCCACATCCATAATATGCTCCATCATTTCATTATGCGCTGCCCTTTGTGGTACCCTGAATAAAGGATGTGGTAAAACAGGTGTATTGAAAATAAATATTTTAAGAATATACTGTAACAAGTACTGGCCAGGAATCAGGTTTTCATCAATAAGAGATGATTTTTCTAAGTATTTTTGTGACCAAGTTTTTAATGAAAGCTCATGTGGAATTTTTCACAGAGCTGAAAAACACATGAAATAATTTAACATGGAAATGTCAAAACTTTTCCACAGGCCTCTTCAGCCAAGTACATTACAGAATTGTTAAAATAAAATATTATCTCCTGGAGACTTTAGTAGTCCAAAGAACTGACTGCTTGGGTGACTTTAAAGAAAAAATTGGCTTGTCAAGAGAATCAGAATTTGAAGTACCTAGGTCTGGTGCCAAGTAATTTTTAGGGGAAGGGCAAAACCATACTGCTAGACGATAGCCTACAATAAATAGCAAACAATATATTGCATATTTTTGGCAATAAAAAAGCAAAATGATCCTCTAGAAAACAGATTATTCTGTGCACTGTTCTCGGAGTCAACTAATGTGCAATTCTACTGTAACAGTATTGTTACAGATATGAAAAAAATATTATTTGTACTGTACTTTTTGTATTAAGTCTGGCATCTACTGGTATAGTGGAACTGCAGTCCTTCTGAGAGCCCTTGGGGTTGCTATAACAGCAATAATTGCTACCATCCGTTAGCAACAATATTTTGCTTTTCCCTTCGTCTTTGTAAATAAGCACACAGCCCTTGCATGTGGTTCTCTACTCACAGCTATGAAACAAGCAGACAAGAAATGGTCATGGCAGGGCAAGAGGTTTGAGGCTTTGAAGGTGGGAGGTGTTTTGGTCATGGGTTTTTGGTAGAGTGTTTTGGGGGAAGGGGGAGGTTTGAAGCAGGTTTTTTTCCACTTTTTTACAGGATGTGTAAGAAAAATTGTGGGTTTTAAGGCAGCTTTTGTCCTGTCCATGTTAAATGCCCTGTCTTTCTGACATCTGACTTTCCAATATTGGTGGCTCCTTGATAAAGTGAGACAATCCAGTTCTATTAAGGAAGCTGTTTCTGGCCTTATGGGATCATTCAGTTAAAGTTGTGGAATTTGGTAAAGGTAAAACAGACAAATACAACAGCCAATTTTATTCACGTCAAGGTGACAGTCAATTTACATGATCAAGCAGAGATCCTTGACCATGGATACAAACAGTGTATATAAATTTTCTCAGCCCACAATAATTTCTTCATTTGATGTTTTTTACCCCAGACACTTTTTCTTCCCATTTTTACTCCGTTTTGTGCCTTTTTTTCCACCTTCTTTCAATTCTGAATTTGTAGCCTATGCAGGCAACAAGACTGTTAGCATGGAAAACTTTCTGAGGGAGGCTGATTGGAATTTGGCAAGTTCCTTTCTCTAGTCCGTTCTGTCTATAAAATGAGTTAATGGAAACAGTTTAAGAATAGTCTGTTCCCCTCTTCCTAGAAACCACTAAATAGGAGTCTGGTGCAAAGATATACTGATTATATGAACAGGCTTCAAGCTTATCTCCCTTTGTGGTTGGATTTGCAGCACACCAGAGTGCTATCTCAGCTGCTACTGGTGGTGGTGGGTCCAACTGCTATACCATCGCTAACGGACCTGAGGGCCAGATGCATACATCAGGCAACCAGGAGATTGCCAGCCACTATTTAAGTGCTTTTCAGATGCTGATGTAATCATGAGAGCTTTTCAGGCATGCTTGTTAAGTTGTTTAATGTTTTCACTCTGTGTATTTTTACCCTCTTGGAGAAAGAGAAAGGCAAGTCAGAGAGCTAGAAGTGTTGATGTCTATGCCAGCTTTTTCATTTTCTTCTAGCTGTAAACACCACCCCAAGCAGCTGGAGCCTGGACAGTGGGAAGGAAGCCAGAAACACATCAGAAAGTGGAAAGCTTATATCTCCTCCTGTACCACCACGACCTGCACAGACTGGTGAGTTAATGGACATTTCAGGCTAAGCTCCAGTAAAAAAAATTATTTACTTGAGGGCTTAGATTCTCTCCACTCTGCTTAATGTTTAACTTCTTGGGCAGGCTAATTTATTATTTGATTCTTTACATGGAAGGCTGTAGAACTGCCTCCGCAGGTATTTTCGTCTCATTAATGTTCTCTGCAGCATTCTGTTTCCAATGCTCTGCCCCTTCACTTAATGACTGAGTAGTTTCAGACAGTTCATGCTAGTACTAGGGAGGATGATCAAATTTAATCTTTTGATCTTATGATAATTGGAAGTCAGCAATCAGAAATGATCATTAACCACAAAGAGTCTTACTAGCCAGAAAATGCACAGCAATCATGGAAGTATGTGAGTTCTGTTACTGTAACCAATTTGCCTTTTAAACGATTAATTTCCATTTAAAGGAAAGACTACCTAAGTGATACTATAAATATAATTGTTCTCAAGGGAGTGAAGACCCTTTTTGTGTTTTAGACTTATGCCTCAAAGTATGTCCAGGCATGTTTACAGTATATTTACAGGTAAATGTTTGATATAAGTACATTATGTATTGTCTCTTTTCTTATTTGACATACAAATACATAATATATTTCTTAAGAACAAAAAGAGGAGGGGAAAAGTTGTTATACTGACTTTTTTTTTTTAATTCTGTTATCATTTGGGAGGATGTAAACCAATTTACAGTGATATAAAATTTGTTAGAGAAGCTTTCTTATACTTCATTGGTTGTACTGCAAGATAATCCTGAGAACAAACTAAAATAAACAAAATCTCTAAAACTATTCATAGCCATCGGGCAAGTACCTAGAGGGAACCAGAGATAATGCTTGTGTATCGAATGATCTCCTATCCACTTAAAAAGATTTTGTAGTGAAAATTGTAATGCCAAGAGTGCACTGAAATCTTTCTGACTTTACAGCATCACCAGCAAGACACATAGCCTCCGTTTCCCCTTCTCCTGCCGGCAGATCACCAATGAAGGTACTGTCTTCCTGCAGTGAATTGCCTTTGTGGAACAGGTCGTATGTGTTGTGGGGTAGATAGTATATATTTAATAGACATTACTTGGGATTATTTTCTGTTTTCCTTTTATTATCATCTGCCTATACAAAAACCATTCACAAGAGTAAGCAGCCATAACAATTACAGCAGCTCTGAAGATTTTCAAAACTGCAGGCAAGAAACCTAATCTTCAGAATCTTTAGCCTCTCAATATTAGGTTTCTTACCTACATGGGTAATCAAGCTCACCTCAGTCAGTGGACAGAAGGGAGTGGAAGAAATAAATGTAAGAGGTGCCCGATGGTCTACCTAGTCCAAAATTCTGTCTCCAACAGTGGCAAAAGGGGAGATGCCAGCTAAGGAGAACCTGTTGTGTGCAACCCATTCCTCTTATTCCTCCAGCATCCAGAGCTGTTGGATTAGAGGGTGTGTTAGTAATCCCTGCTTCAGTCATTTTTAATATCTATTTCCTCTGCAGAATGATCCAGGGAGGTTGTGTAAGAAGTTGGAAGTAGTTTGAAGCCTGCCAGTAGGAAACGTTAAGCACAGGCTGTCAATAAGCACTGGTTCCTCTCTGGCAGTTAAATACCCATAGCAACTGGGGATCCATGCTAAACCGAGCAGGTTTCATTTCTATTTCAAAATATTTGAATGTGTCGATACCCGCTTGTTGCACAACAGCTTATTTGTTGGAAGAGTTGTCTTCCACAGCACTGGAGGACACAAACACGCAGCTAGCATATTCCAGGCAAACCCCGGTACTGACAGACCACACAACGTTAGTCTCGGGGATAGCGTCCACCATCCCACCGAAGCAGAGATAATTCTGCAGTTAGAAATATGAGGGTCAGCAACCTGGAAGGACAGCAAATAGAAAGGAGCATGACTGGTGCTTCAGGCACTCGGGTGCAAGGGCAGAGGGAGGCAGCCCTGCTGAAGTGGTCCCTCAGCTACCCAACGCCTAATGCTGCAGAGGTACACATCTCCTGAGGAAAAGGAGGAAAGTGACACCCCAAAATGCCTCCTTTCCCCTTGAGGTCCCTAATCACAAGTCCACAGTCATTCTTCCATTTATCAACTTGTCAGCCTGTAATATTTCCACTTGTGGCTGCACAGTGGTCCAAGTTCAACACAGAGCAATTTTGGGCTGGCCATCAGAGTGCCCCGTAGTCCTACCACCATAGTATACCTTCTGCTGGAGTGAGCACCCATCGCAGGTTTTGCACTAACTGCTTACTAGGAAGCTCTTCAGAGCATTAGGATCTTGAACAAAATGTGACTCTTCCTTTTTTCCTGAATGGACTCAGTACTGATGATTCTTAGGGATGTTTGAAGCTTGTCCCAATATTTTCTTCTAAAGGCCTGGACAGAATTGAAGGATTTTAGAGCCAAAGTCTGGATTGCTGCTTAGGAGAGGAATGCTGGCCAAGAATACTTCTGAGAGTTGCTGGATTGCCCTTCAAGCATCCATGAATTTCCAGACTGTTTTGGTGTCTAGACTGTTACGCACTACTGGTACAAGCAGTCTGCACTGCTGTCAGGAACCAAGGGCTTACCTCTGCTCAGCTCCTCAATTGAAGCAGGCAGGGGTTACACATATTTGCTCTTGTCCTGAATGACAAAAGCCAAGGTCCTAAATCTTATCTATGGTCTCTTAATCCAAGCGTCAAGCATTCTTGGAACTTGAACCAATTACATCTTTTATTGGAAAAACCTTAACCCTGGATGTTTGTGGGGGTAGGAGTGCAGCTGCAGCCTCCTCACATGCAGAGGAATGGAACCTGAAACAAGTAGTTAAACAGGCTCCTCGCGATGTCTGAAATGTCTTCAACATGTATTGAGCTTTAAATAAAACTTGCTCTGCTTTTCCCTACCCATATACAGGGTTCAATTTTTAGCTTTTGTTCCAACTGTTAGGCGCTGCCAGAGAAGGCCATCTTAGTACAAAACCCACTGATGTAAATGAAGATTTTATTATTTTTTTTTCCATTGCTTTCAGCGCACTGTGGATCCAGTCCTAGATGGATAACTAAAATTATCTCAACAGCATAAAGTCAGTGCAGCCAGCTCTATCCACCCCTGCCCCTCTCCTTCTCCTCCCCTCCCCGCCCGTTGTTGCATGGCTCACACTCTCACCTCAAGCTGAGCAGCTGAGCGCCAACCAGTCTAACAAGAATTGGGGTGAGAAATTTATCTTCGATGTGATTTCTCCATCCCTTTTTTAGCCTGTGCCTGAGGCCATTGAGTCGAGCTTGTCTCGGGTGGCTCCACTCCAAATTCGATATGTTGCAAAAACTTTTCAACTTGCAAAGTATGTTCTAACCTTTTACAGTTTTCAGTTGAAATTGCTTCACCAGAATAGAACTGCTCAATGTTTTTAGGTAGGGCTTTCCTGTCCCTGCCTTTTATTCGTCAGCGCTGTTGTTGCCGCTTGGGCCCTCAGCTCCCCATCCCTCACCTTCCCCGCAGACCCGTGAGGCTGCTGGTGCAGCCATTCGCAACCTTTGCCCTCCGCAGACCCTTGGCCCTGGGGCCGCAGCGGTGTTTTGTGTGTTGTGCGAGCGGCGTGGTGTGTCCAAGGAACGCCTGGGAGATGGGGGAGAGGAAGGGTGGAACAACTGCGGTTGAAAATGCCGTTCGCGGCAGCGATTCCTCACCTCCGGCCTTCCTGCAGCTGCCCCTCAATAGCCAGAGGAACTGCGGGCTGATGGGGCCTGGCCCCCAGCAGCGGCCATTTGCTTGGCATCTGCTCCGCGCTTCACCTCCGGCGTGGGTATTATGACACACTCGGAATTGATGCCACGGTGTAAAGGCACTTTTCCTTGCATGACGGTGCACTAAACTGTGAGGAAAAGCTTTGGGAAATGGATTTGGAACACGAGAGTGAAGTAGCAGCAGTGACTGGGATGCAGGCCCTCTGCTTTGGCATTAGGGGGCAGGCCGCCACTAGGCACGGCCCGCGTTTCACTTAAAGCTGGGAAAATTACAGGTTCATTTTAAAGGCTTCCAGATTTTTCCAGGGTATTATCATAGTGAGACAACGTTTAAACACAGTTTTACTTCCACTTACATGAATTACTGGCATGAGCACTGTTTAAGGTCTATCTAGGCACTCTTGAAATGAGCTTTTTATTGGTTTCTTACTGGATCTTAATTAAACAGGGACACAACCATTTACGTTTATCCAGCCTCAGAATTGATGTGCTGTATCTCTGTATGTTTTCAGTCGGAGCACAGAAATGCTTCTCCCTCGTTTACTCCAGGTAAATTCTTCTTCTGCCCTTTCTTTTGAGCAGGGGTCTGTGCAATCCTTCACGTCGTCTCCAGTGGAATATCATTCCTCGGGGCTCATCTCCAACTCCCCGGTGTTGTCGGGCAGTTACAGCAGCGGCATCTCTTCGCTCAGTCGATGTAGCACATCAGAGACGTCAGGTTTTGAAAGCCAAGGCAGCGAACCAACAGTGACTGTCCCAAGCTACAACGTTTCCGAGGAGCCTGTGAGAAAAGAAAGTAAAACCCCGCCGCCTTACAGTGTCTATGAGCGGACTTTGAAACGTCCAGTTCCTCTACCTCACAGCCTCTCCATCCCGCCCGCCGCGGACCCCCCGGCGCTGCCGCCCAAGCCCCAGCTCATCCGGCCAAACAATCTGGAAAACAACAGCAGGAGGACTGAGCAGGTTCCCCGGCCCAGGCCTCTGCCCCGCAAAGTCTCTCAGCTATGAGAAGCTACTTTTATATTTAATTGCAACCAATTCTTTACCATTTAAGAAATAATATTTTTTAAAAATGGTAAAATGTGTTTAGTTGGGCACTTTAATATTTTGGCCACCTTTTCTTTTGAGTAATTTTGAAATGCTTATTAATATTATGTTGCACATTTGAAACGAAATTACTAATTTAGGTTGCCAGATATTATAGGAAGCATGAATGAGAGGATTTTTTTTTTTTTTTAATTTCATGGTGGTGAATACTGATAAATGCTTTTATTTGTACTTTATTTAAAAAAATTAAATCTAAAACCCTACAACTCTCATCCAAGTTAGCCGAATGCTTCTTACAAAATGCAGAATATACTGACTGGATCTTTACTACTAGAGATAAATGCACGCTTTCTAACAAAGTAGTCTGTAGACTAGGATGTTTCTGCAAGTAGGCTGAAAGTTGTTTCTCTTATCCGATGAACAGGTTGGTCATTTCAAGTGTCTGTGGAAAAATGGAGATATAATGCAAGTTATACTGCAGAGAACCATTGTAAGAATGTGGTTTGGAATTTTGGAAACATACACTTGGTTTATGTTGTTTTGAAGACAGAAAAATACCTGCATTTTATTCAGCATACAGCACCATGCTGGTGAATCTTGAGAAGGTTTTGTGCCATTAGTGTATTCCTGTACCTGATGGATTGTTTTCTTTTTGAGGTGCAATTTACCTTTATTCTTCCAGGGTTTTTTTTTATTGTTTTGGTTCTGTTTTTTAAAAAAGCTAGCTGTCTGTTAGTGGAGGCTCTCTGCTGTTTCTGACAGTTCACCCTAAAATACAATCTGTGTATGAAATAGGTACAAACGAATTGTTCATTTAACTTGTGTACAGGAATCAGTACCCACTAGTACCAAGGCAATGCACTAAATGAACAAATCTTTAAAAATACAAATTACTGGTTATTGATCAATAAATTTCAAAAGCTAATTGCAAAGGTCATTCTCTAAAAACCTAGCAAAAATTCTGAACAGCTCTTTGGATGTGTACGTACCAGTGGAGTCAGGTTTTGGATTTGCTTTTTAGCTTGAGTTCATCACCATCATCTTTATTGCAGGAGAATGGTGTTTGGCCTTAGGTTATATTTTAGCGACTGGCGTCTGAAGAGCTCTGGAAAGCTAATGCCAAGCCGTAGGAATGTGGAGGGGGAAAGGAAAAAAAAAAAAAAGCACCTTCTGTATGTATTTTTTGTATCCTCTTTCTTTTACTGACTATTTAAACATGTGCTTGGGAACAGATGTGTGAACTCCATTTTAAATCATGCTGTTAAAAATATTCTCCCTCTTTTGTTGGGAAGCTCATGTTGATTTTAGCTGTGTTTGATTTGTTGATAGTTTAACTGGAAGAAAGTGACCACTTTTTATATTCTCTCAATTAAACCTTCAGCAGTTACAAGCTGTTGATGGTAGTTATAGAGGTTTTCTATAATAAATGTTCAAGTATTTTTGTACATAATTGGTAAATTTTAATAAGGAGTGTACCATTATGTGAAAAAGAAGCAAACAGTTGTGTATGCAGTAAGATTGTTATAATTATGCCAAATACTTTATGTATGGAAAAAAGAATATTTGTAAATATGTGCTTTTAACAATAATACTGCCATATTGACTTTACAATTTTGAATGTCAGAAAAAATTAATATATGTTAAAATATTTATGTTTTAGTGAAAGTATTCATAACTTGAAAAGGAACGTATGAATTTTAGCTTTGTATCTTGCTGATTTCAAAGTCTGAAATTCCTTGAACTAGCTCTTACTTTCTACTATAACATTTTTCTGTCTGTAACCACATCATAAAAGGTGTAGAAGCCTACATATTTATGCCAATATAAAGAAGTAATGCCTGAGATTTAAATAAGGTGTCACAAGTAAGATAACAAAGCTGCTTTGATTTTATTTTTTTTTCACCCCTGTGTAGTTTAGTAGATTTTGTTGACTAGTGCTTGAGCACAGTATGAATCAGTGTTATTTGCTCCTGAAGCCATTTTTTTTTATTTCTGGCAGTGAGCAGAGTTGATGACTTCTTACCATTTGTGTGCGTTACTGAAGTCAGCTTTGCAGCAAAACATTTCACAAAGTTTCTGTTTACCTAGACACTCATATTGGTTGCTGCATAATGTTAATACGGAATAAAAAGAACTTGATTAATCTTGACAGTACAATTTGTTTTCTACAGAATGAGAGATTATAATTCAGTTTGTCATAGAATTAAAGTTCTGACTCCTTGTCTTGCTAAATCCAGTTTTCTTTCTGTTAAAATATCTCCTGATGGATCTAGTTTTCTCCCTGTTTGGATCCGTTATTTCGTTGTGAGACAATGTGGAGAGTATTGACCTGCTCTCCTGAACAAGTGAAGAATGTAAAATTTACTAGGAGAGTTCACTGTAAATTAACCTGCATGAGCGCTCTGTTTTTATAACCATGACATTAGGAATACTCTGAACGATAGCAGATGGTGTAAAATTGACAGAGTACTCTAAAACCGAGCTGACACATTTTCTGCTTAGCCAGTTTTGACAAATTGATTCTGTAGATCAGCTTTTCAACCTGATTTCCTATAAAAAATGTGCTATGAAATTTTGTTATGTATGTTGCAACACTCAGCGCTTGAAAACCTAATGTAAATAAAGGTCTCGTTTGAATTTTATGTATTACTCATAAATGTAGTTTTATCACTTTCTGGGTGACAGTGAGTAATTCAGAAGCTCGCATAGGAGGACCTGTGAGAGCAAAGTGCTGTTACTACTCAATAGCTTGAATGTTAGCCAACGTATGCGTAATAAGGGAGATGATCTTGTATTCGAATACGGCATTTGAGCTGCTGCTACCTGTGGGATGCCACAGAAGTGACTGCAAACTCGGCTGGCTGGCTTTGAAATGATGCAATTCAGACCGGTTCTCATGATGGGCTAATACCTCTGTAGTGCGAGTGAACTCAATTATCACTGTGTCTCAGGTCAGATCACAGCCACCAGCCTGTGTCCTGACAGACATGCAAAGCTGAAGTTACCCCTTGATAGTAAAGGATTCAGGGTAGTGCAGATACGGCCCTGTTCACGTGCAACAGGGCGTAGCTACGTGTAACTCTTCTCTTCTGTGGGAAAGTGGCACCTTGCCCTCCTCCCTGACCATTCTTGTTCACAAAATGTCGAGCAGCATCTGCGAAAAGCACCGTGACTGTGCAGAGAAGAAACCAATAGGCAGGAGTCAATACCGGGGTGTACAAATAACGAAAAGCATGTGGTTTCGCGTGTAACTGGGGTCGGTGAGGCACGTAGCAGCGTTGTATCAGTAACCCCAGGTGCTGACGGACACAGTGCTTTGCTCCAGAGCTCTGTCAGTAGCTGGGTTTTCCCCTCAACCCTCTGATGATCCAGGCAGAGCCTTGACATATGCTCGTCAGAGGGCAGAGACCCATCTGCTGGGACGGCGCAAAGGGATGTTTGCCACTGGAGCCCTTGAGATTCTGACCTTGAACCAGATTCTGTAGGAGAAAGCCCTTTCCATCTTCATTTAATTTGTCTTTATCTTCTCCTTGGCATTTTAATTCAACTTATGACATGTATTTCATATAAGAAACTAGGATGATTAGTTACTTTGCATAACATTAGCAGAAAAATCTTGTGATTAAAATGGCTAAAATATGCAAGCCTTAGGAATATGAGGGGTTTAGAGCTGCATACCTCACGCATGCACTAAGCATCAGGGTGGAGTGACTCTTCCTGGGTGGTAAAATAAGGCTGCTGAAGAAAGAACATTAAATATTTTTTAAAATGAGGTTGCTTTGGAAGGAACTCGGTCCGCTTGCAATAACAGGCTGTTGCCTTTGCAGACTTCAGTGGGGACAGAGCTTCCCAGGCACGGCTGGGCAAATTTACCTGGGTTAGAACTGGTATTAAGGATACAGAGCATAGCTGCTCTCTAACTGACTGGTGTTGGGTTGGTATTTACTTCAGGAAGACTGTGTTAAAAGAAGGGAAAAGAAGTGTGTTTTCACTCCATCCAGGAAAAATAATAGTGGGAGAAATGGAAATCTTAGCTGAAACTGAAGCATCAGCTATATTTCTTTAAGCTATCATAGCATGATTTTATACCAGCTTAACTGCTGTTTGAGCTGAAGGGGGCAGAAGGAAAGCTGGAAGCCCTGACAAAATACAGGGGGGTATTTTACAAAGGCTTTGGGCTGGGGTTTTTCCTCTTTTGCTATGGCTTACCAGAGGAAAGATGCCAAAGGACAGAGAAGACTGACTGCTGTGGGTTGCAAGGGCAAGGAGTTTCTAAATCGCAAAGCCCTTGCAAGATACTAAAATACTTCCCTAGTTTTGCTAAACAGTTTTTTTCTTACCCCATGGTGCATAATCAATAGTGTATTTTGCAATTAACATCTCGGTATCTTAGGGAGCAAATCCATGTCCAAACTTCATAGGAAATAGCTGCTCTGATAACTCATAAGCTGCTGGAATTGTGGTTCTATATTTCAATGTTTTACATCATTGATTTGCTATTGGCACTAGATCCGCTAGTGTATTTCAATTTGTTCCATTTCCTGAGAAATATTTTGCAGAGGGATTCTCTGCATTACATTCTTGCTGATTTGTGACAAACTGCTATCGCTGCTGTCTTTCCTTGACCTCACTGACTTCCCTTGAAGTTTTTCCTCTTGCTTTTCAAAAGAAAGGCAGGGAACTGCTTCAGCCTTTCCCATGGGGAATATTTCAGGGGACCCAGCACAGGCACCCATCCGCTCCCGGGGAGAGAATCACAAGGGCCTGGGGAACAAAAGCTGGGGAGAAGTTCACCTGTAAAGCACCTGAAGGAGTTTGTGTTCACAGACATAGCCATAGCTCAAGGACAGGGACTAACCTAATTTACTAAAACCAGGAGGTGGGGTGTAGGTAATGTCCTGCAGGGACTAAGCTTTGCTAAAGGGTGAAACTCAGGCCCAGCACACCCTGTAAATGGAAAT